GACAGAAGTCTAAGCTCTCGGAAAAGGGGATGAAGACCCCAGTACTGTCGTATACTTGGAATTGCTTTCGTAATACGAGTGCAACAATAAGTAAGGGGAAAGACGCAAAGACGGTGCGATATCGCATGTACAGCTTTCCGAGACTGCCCATAGTATCGATCGTGATATGAATTGAAATACTCGAATCACACGTCGGGTCCGTCCAGAGTTGAAGGCTAAGGCCGTCATCAGACTGTCTAGGCTTTAGGGGGGGAGGCACGTAGGGCGAGACACCGTGAAGACTAATCTCCACCTCGTGGGCATTTACAAAGTACTTGGACTCGTAAGGCTCAGAAAGATACTGCCGGACAAGTGGAGTAAATAGCTGTTCCCGTTCATCACAGGATTGGCCGTCAATTTTGAGATTGTACGCCAACAAGCTGCTCTGAACCGATGGAAGTTTCACTTCGGTTACCATTGGTCTGTTCGCAGGAAGATGAAGCGACAAACCAAAGTTAAAGAGACGCCTTGGACCAACATGTCGAGTTAAATGAGCGTCGGTTTTATCACTAAATTCAGCTACCAACCATCCGGCCGTCGGAATCGTGGTTTTATCAATGACTGCAACAAACCCGTAGTCTGATATATCTTCAACGTCATACTCGAGATATGAAAATGGCGGGATTTGCCACTCATCCTTTTTGAAGAAGGGATTCTTCGTGAAACGTGAAGAAGCCGGCAGCGATACTACATCGGACGCGGCATTTTTACAGGCAAGTTTCGTTGAGTCCTTTGTGGAATCCGTGGTATCGTCGGAGAGATCGATATTCATTGAGAACGGTTGGTTAGCCTGTCCAGCTTGCGGCGGGTAGAAATTACAGAACAGGACCTCAAGTTTTCCGTCCTCGCCTGGTCGATCGAGTTTGCTGTCTGAGAGCAGGGTCAACTTCTTCCCTTCAGAAAATTCACTTAACGGAATAGTGAGAAGGTATGCCTTGGCTTTTCTGTCCGAACCTAGGTCGCGGAGAACAAGACGATCACCTAAAGGAAGGACGGTAGTTGAATGATCTTCTAGCGTTAGCAACGTCGACGAGGCTATCTCTGGAAGGCTCTTCTCAACAAAACTCTCCAAGCCGGACAAAAATCGCCTCTTGAATGCCTTCATCCTGTCTACTCTCGATTTAGTCTGTGATCTTCCGCGGTTATCGACGACATCGTAAAGCGCGCGGACGATGACCTTCCGGAATTGATCGCACCATGTGATTGCCTGGTGATCCATGCTTGTCCAAACTGTAGGAATTGTAGATGTGAAAACGGTGAAACCGTGAGTCTCAGGTACGATGGATTCCAGACCAGCATAATCCGATGGGACAACAGTATCTAAACCACCACCAGCGATGGACACCAGGGTAACTTGGCCCAAAGCATTTTCAGCCGACGACCTTTTCGAGTAGGCCCGTCTCCAATAGTTATTGATATCGTTATAGATACTAACAATTTTTGGATCGAATGTGACAGGAGGCCGAGCGTGCGGAGCAGACATGGTGATGATCGTGTTGACCGAGTCTTGCTGGTAGTTTGGCATGATGAACATAGTCCGCGCCACAATTCCCCCCATGGAATGACCTAGTATAATAACCGATGAAGGATCCGGGAGACTCGGGTCTCGTTCTGATATCTTTGGGTCCAGGTAGAGGGAGAGGATATACCTGATGGCTTCATTTAGATACTCGGCTTGGTCGAGCATGGTTTGCCCATGGAAAGCAGTGAAATCTTCGTTGAAATCGACAGTGAAGAAGTCTAAATTCCTAGCGCCTGCGTTTATGGCAGCGGCATCGTGCTGCAAGATATCGTGGAAATATCTGGCAGATTCCGATGCAATGGATCTAACTTGTTTGTAGCTGCCAGCATTCCCTGGTATGAACAGCACTGGTATTCCTTTGATCTACACATCAAGTCAATATTTTCAATTCGGAAATAACTGTTAATTCTCAATTTCCGTACCTTTGGTCCATTGTCGAATCCTTGCTCTCGATAAAGATACAACGAGTATTTGGTAGCAAACCGAGTATGCTCGGTATCAAAATCGCTAAATTTAGCGTATGACGGACTCATCCAGGACATGCGACAGCCCTTGGGATCACAATGTAGGGTGATAGCAGAATATAGAACAGCAACCAGCATGCTGAGGCCTACGACGCTTGTAAAGATGGTTAAGAGAGACATAGCCCAAGGACTCCAAGATCGCGGAGGCTGACTCCTTCGTCTTGACGATGCCGTCTTCTCACCTTCCATACTCGGGTAGTCTGGCGATAATGTCGTGGACGGGAGACGAGAGGTTGCTGGTACTTTTTCGGTAGACCCATCGCGACTATGGGAAAGTCTCCAGTTGATATTGCTGCTTGGTCTCCGGCTCCTAGCGGATGACGATCTAGCGCCCTCTTTCTGGGGACGTTCTGATTGGCGAGCATCATGGGAATGTCGGACAGAAGAACTCACGTCGCCCAGCCTCGTTTGTCCATGAGGGCGCGAGATCTTGACAGGAACATCGGCGCTGTCATCGGACGATCCCGATGAGCGCCTCTGCATGAGGATGAAGAGGCTCTCGTGAGAGACCTCTTATTTTACAGGAGTATGGACACGTAGGGTTATTAATGCGGCTGTCGTTTGGTTCTTAATAAACTCGTGTAGTTCGATCTGGGGGTTCGTCATACGTTGCGAAACGATTCTGTCGCTGAAATTCGACGTATAGCTAACGCGGGAAGGGCAGTTCTAGTCGAGACACGAACACGACTCTACTTGCGCAACGACGAATTTAAGAGCTAAGCTGCAGGGACGTTGGAGAACTGTCGATCTTATTAAGGAGAGAACCAATCCGTGCCCATAGACCGAGCTCGCCTACGTACGCTTTCCTCTCGGCCTGCAAAATGTTTGAAAACGAATGTCGGTCGTCCAACCCGCCGGTTTTGCAACAACTGTTGTATTGGTGGACGTTGTTGTAAAAGGATGTCTAAGATGCCTTATTAGTGGATGTTTTTGAGTTGAACGGGTTGGAGCGAGAAGACGGAATGAGTGGGAATTGCAAGCGCGGGACGTCTTGAGTTAGAATTGAGATACGATTTGGCAATGCTTCTACATAAAAAGTAGCATGTACATGCTTCATTAACCTGCAACTACCTGCAACTAGCACTGAATTCTAGCGCCTTAGCACTAAAATTTGGGGGCTATCGGGGAAAGTTTGAAAGTTTATTATGGGTAATGGGAGAGCCAAGTGCTAAATTCCCGATAGCTTCTTCAAGATCCTGTAGAAAAAGGAACCATAACTGCATAACAGGTACCTAGGTATCCATGTACATGAGTAGCGCCCAGAACATGTGCAGTCTTTTTTCACCCTAGTCGATCTTAGCGGATTTAAGAATCCAGTGGGTTGACACGAGGTGACGAGCCAAAATACTGGCTTGGCCAAGTTTTTCGTCCAACAATTGACGTTAGCTTGGCTTATGCAACTTCATTACCAAGCTTTTGCTGCCGACTTAGCTAAGCCTGGTTGGGTGTAAGTGATCTAACAATACTGCTTTGGTGAATCATGCCTCTGCTGCATGCAGTAGCGGAAGGTAAAGGTACTGCATTGGGTCAGAGGGCATAATTTGCGAAATTCACTTACTCGTAGAAAAGTATTAGTATGATATGTAACAGTTGTCATTTTATATATTGTCATAAAAATAAAGCTGCTAAATACTAAATATTAAATACTACCTAGAATTACAGAAATTACGATGTGTTACGTTAGATACTATATCTATCTTGATTAACGCTAAAGTACCGTGTGTCGGCGGGGGATATACCATTCTTGTCACTGAAGACCGCAAATTGTGGTACAAGATATACTTGGCGATCGGCGAATCCTGTCCCATCTGGCTGTCTCACATCGTGTTTTACAGCGATGGAACCAAATTTGAGGCAATACACGTGTACATGTCTGTAGAAAACCTCATAGCTCTCCACAGCCCCGTTATTGATACTAGCAAGCGCCGTGCCGAACAAGGTGCCGAATAAGGTGCCGAACAAGATACAAATGCGGGTTATACGGGTTATACGGGTCATCGGGTTTTTATGTGTTTTTATTTTTATCTAGGACCAGTTACTTGCGCCATACGTCCCGTGGCCATCTCGGCCGCCACAAATATTGGATATGAGCGGCAAAATGCAACAGCGGAACTCGTATTGACAAACGGGCATTGCGTGAAAGTGAGAGCTCATTTAGACATGCGCCTAAAGCGGACTCTCCCCGGTTTGTGTCGGACACGGGAAGATGCTCAGATGCTGTAAGCAGTTGTGTTTCAATAGTCCAGATAACGTGCATCCTTTGTGAAGATACACCACAGATAGCTGAACATATTCGCTCCACATCGGAAGCGTCCAAGATAACATTCTGAATTCACTGGCTCCAAAGCCTTCCCAGATGATTTAATAGAGCGGTCAACCTACCAGTTCCGCACACAGAAAATGAACTTGATCGGAAACGGAAAATAATTACCTTTTTTATTTAAAATCCGTAGCTTGTATCGTCGGATCCCGAGGGGGGGTCTTTGAAACGTCATACAAGCTTGTTTCCCTGATGGAGGGAGTGGGAATGATATCGAATGAAGTTGACGGCAAGGATATCGAGGTTTGTATTCCGAGCTTTCCGATATCGACATTACTTATTATACTTACCTCCTACATTCAAACCAATGCTGCAACGGCTAGTTTGCCAAGAACTGTTTTAGGGATTGGCTTCGTATGTTGGACTCCAGGTTGAAAGAAACTGCCTAAGATAAGAGCAGAAATGAAAGTTTGCTCTATGATAACTGCCTTAAGCAAGTGCACACTTTAGGCGGTACCAAGGTACAAGTTATAAGTGCTTCAGACATGCAGCATGCAGCATGCAGCTAACCTAGAGATGTTGGAAGTTCAGACTTACATATGCATTGCTTCAACTTCTTCTTCAAGCACACTTACAAATCCTCAGAGTTCGTCAACCTTAACTCGCCTTTTGATATGGATTTCATGTATAGGTACATATATGTATCGTTAAATACAGCAGAGTTTTAATTCTCAACAGACGCTTTAGAAGAGCGGTTGAAAATCTCGTAACTACAGAGACACAGTAAAATTGCACAGTTCCCCTCGCATCAACTGTGAAAGGTAAAATTGGAACTTCCATGAATAAGGTTAGGTACCTGAGCTCTGAGACGCCACTTTATGCGCTGCGCCACACTACCTCGGAACTTGGACGCGTTCTCCATTTCAATTTAATTGATTAGGTATGACGCGACGAGGCTGAAGAGGTTAATACCTATTGATACTTGGACTAAGTATCATCTTACTGACAGTCTGATGGCGACTATCAAGGCCATCGAGGCACGAACTGTAAGTAGTCATCTAACCTCTTCTATATTATCATCATAATATAAATACTGAGTAATTTAGATCCACCAAATTCAATCCGGTCAAGTCATCGTTGATCTATGCTCTGTGGTGAAAGAGTTGGTAGAGAATAGTTTGGATGCGGGAGCCACAAACATTGGTTCGTTCTTTTTATTTATTTGTTACTGTATCTCTATTCATTAACTAATAGGAATTCCACCTGAAAGAGGTTCGATTCAAGAACCAGGGCCTAGATTCTATCGAGGTTCAGGACAATGGCTCAGGCATATCCAAACAGAACTACGAGACATTAGCACTAAAGCATTACACCTCTAAATTATCCACATATGCAGATCTTTCCTCCCTCCAAACCTTTGGCTTTCGAGGAGAGGCTTTATCGTCCCTTTGCGCCTTATCTAAATTCACTGTGACAACATGCCTGGCATCAGACGCCCCAAAAGGATCGAAGCTGGAATTCGAAACCTCGGGGAAGCTTTGCAGCACGAGTATCGTAGCTGCCCAGAAAGGCACTACAGTGACTATTGAAGGACTTTTCCATAATCTACCCGTCCGTCGCCGCGAACTGGAGCGGAATATTAAACGGGAGTGGAACAAGGTCATTGGCGTACTCAACCAATATGCCTGCATCCAGACTGGACTTAAATTCTCTGTGTCTCAACAGCCGAACAAGGGCAAGCGGATAGTACTATTTTCCACCAAGGGCAACCAGACAACTCGGGAAAATATTGTTAATGTGTTCGGAGCAAAAACCCTAGCCGTCCTTATTCCCTTAGACCTGAAGCTCGAGCTAGAACTTACCAGCGCACCAGGCCAGAAATGGAGCGCGCAGGGCGATAGTAGCAACGTTCACGAAATCCATATTAAGGGGCATGTATCTCGTCCTGCCCATGGAGAAGGGCGTCAGACTCCAGATAGGCAGATGTTCTTCGTGAACGGTCGCCCTTGTGGCCTGCCACAGTTCGCCAAAGTATTTAATGAGGTGTATAAATCCTACAATGCCTCCCAATCTCCCTTTATTTTCGCTGATATTCAACTGGACACCCATCTCTACGATGTTAATGTCAGTCCGGACAAGCGCACGATTCTCTTGCATGATCAAACTCGAATGCTCGACAACCTTAGGGAGGCTCTCGTTGCCTTGTTTGAATCGCAAGAGTATGCATTGCCGACATCCCAATTATCAGTTTCAAAACAGACACCTTTCAAAAAGCCTTCGATAAGTAGACAAAATACCCCCCTCTCTGAAATTGGGTCAAAACATTCCATCTCAGTTGAGAACGAGCCCCGGCAAATTTCAATGTTTATGAATACAAAGGACACAGAACATCAGGACGAAATTGAAGACGACAAGTCTACAAGCGAGTCAGCACCGAAAAGCTCAGTCTCGACGAAATCACCAGCTCCTGATAGTCAGGATCTCAATCTAATGAGTCGATGGGTCGAACGGAAATCAGAATTCCGTGCTGATACTCCTTCAACCGCGACTAGCGCCTTGGAAGATGACGGACCAGAAGCTTCAAAGTCGAAAGGACATATATTTTCTAAATTTGCGAAAAGTTATACAGAAGATGGCGTCCATGACCCTGAGAGTAGTGCTAAAGGTCCGGCGTCACCTCCTGCACCCTCAGAGGAAGAGCCCAGCGAGGAGACAGATTTCCGTGCGCGTTTGGCCGAGTTAAGCAAGATCAAGACAAGTAGACGTGACGCTAGTCAGGCATCAAGCACTCGAGAAGTAATTGAACCACCTATACCAGCCGTATCTACCTCATCTCGTGTGTCGGACATCAAGACGAGTAGAGTTAGCTCATCTGCAGCTACGAAGCGATCAGCGCCAGAAGTGGCCACGATTACGGTAGGTAACCATACAGTTACTAGCATTATTGGCTCTCCTTCGAAAAAGCAACGAACAGGAGATGATAGGACCCGCGAGCCATCGACGAGACAACGAGCTTCAAAAGAGGCTGCCTCGATGCCTTCATTTAACGGACGTTTGACGCAGATGTTTGCGGCCTATTCGCAATCGAAGGAAGCCGAGCCGATGCATATTAAGATAACCCCAGAAGCAACGGAACTTTCGGATGATTCTGATGGTTCCAGTGAACAGCTATTTGTCGAAGACAATGACGATGAGCAGGACAATCAAGACGAGGAACCAACTCAGAGCGAAGTGGCCACGGAGAGCGTTGGAGAGCAAGGTCACGAATCTGATAACCAATCCCCTGGACCTGAGAGTGTAAATAATCATCTACAAGACGACGTGCCACCATCTCCAAGTCTGTCTCCAGGTGATGCGCATATAGACGAGCAGACTGAAGATACCCAGGAAGAAATTGAGTTGGGAGCTACTACTGTTACTGCTCACGGTTCAGGATCTGCCGTCTCTGAAGAGACACAGAAACGTACACAAAGCTTCGTGAAGGGCGGTACCAAGAAGAAAGATTCAACTCTCCCCTTACTACAAACGTTGCGTATAGATGAGCAACATATACGAAGGTCCCTAGCAATGCATCAAGAATATCTTGAGGATATCTCATTAACAACGGGATCTAAGCTTGCCGCGGAAAGACTTGATGCCGAGGACGCCGAGGAGAAATTGTCTCTGACGATCTCGAAAGCTGACTTCGGGAAGATGAAGATTATTGGGCAGTTCAACCTAGGCTTCATTATAGCGGTTCGTGCGGCCAAAGTAGACCCTGAGGACACCGAGGAAAGGCGCGATAGAGATGACGAGCTTTTCATTATTGACCAGCATGCGACAGACGAAAAGTACAACTTCGAGCGGCTTCAGGCTAATACTGTTGTGCAGTCTCAAAGGCTGGTCCAGCCCAAGGCGTTAGAGCTCACAGCTCTCGAGGAAGAAGTAATTAGAGAGAATCTCGAAGCCCTGGAGGCGAACGGCTTCATCGTAGCCATGGACGAGAGCGGCGATCAGCCGGTAGGATCCCGCTGCCAACTTCTCAGCCTGCCGCTTAGCCGGGAGACGACGTTCTCGCTCGCCGACCTCGAGGAGCTAATCTCGATCCTGACGGACCACCAGTCTACATCGGCAAACTCCATCCCGCGACCCTCCAAGGTCCGCAAGATGTTCGCCATGCGCGCCTGCCGCAGTAGCGTCATGATCGGCAAGTCCCTCACCCTCAAGCAGATGGAGAAGCTAGTCCGCCACATGGGCGAGCTGGATAAGCCGTGGAACTGCCCCCACGGCCGTCCGACGATGCGGCATCTGTGCGGCCTCGGCGCGTGGACCGAGATGGCGTGGAGGGAGGGCGACGGATTCGGCGGCGAGAGAACGCCAAGGACGGACTGGAGTGCGTATGTTAAGGAGAAGAATGAGCTGTAGTATGTAGGTACCTACCTATGTATGTATGTATCGCTATTTGAGTATTTGGGTTTTTAGTACTTTGCATGTATGCTGCATTGTTAGGGCGTATGGCAACGAGGGGTCTGCTTGTTAGATTTTATGGATAATACCCCTTGTCAATATAATAGTGCAAGTGTTTACTTGAGAATGTATAGTTAATCGCTAGTTATTTATTTGCAATACTGGATCTTGGGATTTAACACGCACGGAAAGGTAAGGATAGACGGTATGATACTAGATTGGATTGATAGATTCTCTCGCCGGTGATTATTCGTCTGTTAGTATCAAAACTACCTAACCTACCTAACCTTATATATAGCAGTTCTACAGTAGAAGAGTTAAAATATCACATCTCATCACAACACTATTCACGAGCACTGTTACTTCCTAGAGTATCGTATCTCTTATTCATCACAGGTACTATCTTAACTCCTCATTATCGCCATGAAACTAGAGCCCTATTTGACCTGCCAAAATCCAGATCCAGATCCAGTTCCAATTCCTGTTTCGTTTACCTTAGTATTACATCCGTGAAGTCATCATTACATATCAATCGCACCGCCTCCCCCTCCCCGTCCCCTTTCCGGAGAAATCAACAAAAAGTCCAAAGACCACAACAACTCCAAGCAGCCTACACCGGACCAACCCGCCTACATGTCCAATCCAAAGCATTCCGCGTCCCCTTAATCCTCGTTAAGAATGCTATACCGCGAATACCTATTCCCTCCTAGCCCCTCCTCCGCAATCTTACCGCTGACATTTCTTCTCCACGTACCCGCGTCCCCGCTCCCTAGGTCGCCGTAATCGTTACCAGAAGAGACCTGGCGATTACCTCCTGTTTTCGCCGCTTTTTCTCCGAGCATGACGGGTGGCGTGGCAGGCTTCAGTTCGCCGTATGGTTTGGCGTAGAAATCGCCATCAGGCTGAATGGACGAGTCCCTATTGCGTGCACCGCCCGCACCGCCGCTCTTGGGCACGATCAAGCTACGGCGCCAGAACGACGGGGCTCGCGTTGGACTGGCCTTCTCGTCCACGATGTCCTGGCTACCGCTCACGCTGCGCGTGTTGTAGCTGACTTCCGAGAGCGGCTCGAACGCCGTCTTCCGTCTACTTGCAATATCTCTGCCTTGCACGACCTGCGGCTGCCCCTGGGGAGTCGGGTTCAAGCGCAGCGGATTCGGGCGCAGGTGACCCATGACGTCGATGGGGCTGCTGGGGATATCGTCGGCCTCGAGGTCGGACTCGTCGGGGCGCATCATGTCGTTATTCTCTCGGTCCGAGTCGTCGTCTGAGTCGTCGAAATTGTACCGTTGGTTCACGGCCTCATACTGCTGGGACTGGGACTGGGACTGGCGCGAGCGTTCGGCGATTTTGAGGGCGCGCTGCCGCTCTTGTGTGCGGTTGATGAGAGATTCGGAGGCGTACCATGCTTCGGTGAACTTGGCGATGCGGGTTGGCGAGGCGTTGGTGGGTTGGTGGGGAGAGGGGGTTGGGGCGATGGTGATGCTGCTCGGTCGAGATGAGGATGGCGATGCTGCGCCGGTCTCATGCAGCGGGACCTCGGTGTAGCTTGCGCGCTGGGCGACTCGTGGGGTAGACAGGCGTTTCAATTCCGCGACACTATTGCGGGGAGAGTTGCCCGGTGTGATATGATATTGTCTGCTAGGGAGGTCGCATCGCGAGTCGCGCTTCGACGAAGCGAAAGAGTCTCGGGAACCGGTGCGTGTGTGCATAAATGGGATGCTGGGTGGTCGCGAGAGGTCCTCGTACGGGACACCCGAGTTACGATAGCTTTCGAGAGGTGAATCAAGACGATTAGAGTCATCCGAGACCGCAGTGTAGCTAGTTGCGACAGACGACTTGTTCCGCTTGTGCTGTTTGACGCGAGAGGTAAGATGGTCTTCCAATGGGTTGAAGTCCGGTGGCATGTCAGCGATTCTTCGGAACATCAGACATAACCAGATCGATATGCAGAGCGAAACGACGTGTAGGCTACCAGCGCAGATGAGCGCGAAGTACTCGCTCTGAATAAGGTGGTCAGTAAGTTCGGGCGAAGCCGTGATAATGAGTTCCCACTCCTTGCCGTGGTTAACGACGGAGATGACACCGAAGGCGTATAGCGGTATAACTGCCAAGTCCGTGACACCGGCGAACATCTGATAAGCTGCTGACGAACCGGGTGGTCTTGACCCGGCGGGTCTTATGAGATGCCAAATTGCGTAGACACAACTAATAGCTACAACACCAGGCTAAATAGTATAGGTGAGTGAGTGAGGAATCCTAATATAAGCGAGTAAGGTACCTATGTAAGACGTACTGTAATTCTCATAACCCAAGAAGCGAGAGGATCAACATTAGAGATCAGTATCATGAGGACGAGTAAACAACCGCCTCCAATCATCTCCAGGATGCGAAGGAATAATTGAACATATCTCATGAACTTGATCCACCACTTCGTAGTGCTGCTCATAGGCTTGAACATTGAAGTGCGCCCAGTCGGCACGACATGCGCACTTGGATAGATTAGCCATAATAATCATCTAAGTTAACTAGTTGCGACTTACTCAGGATGTCGGTTGAAGGCTATGAATGGGCCTTTCTGCTTCTGTTTCTTAGGTTTCGGTTCCCAGCTTGCTCTTGTGATGGCCTTGGGATCGAATGGTTTCTCGGGGGATTGAGAGTCACGCCTTTCGGCATCGTACAAGTAGGGTTGTTGAGCGCCCATATCTACGGACGTCTCACTCTAGCTGGCGAGGCTGAGCGACATTTATTGATAGGTGAGGGCAGGATTGGATCGACAGTTTTAACTGGAATGTGTGATCTTATGACTGCGAAAAAGGCGGGAGCGCCATGATGTGGGGAAGAAAGAAGGTGGGATGTGATCTAGGTATGTAGGTATGTATACAATACAAATACAACATATGCAGGTACATAACGAAATGACGGGGTTGTGTATCGTGGGATGGGAACCTGGGAAGTTGCCGTTTCCACAGCAACGGGCGGTTAGAATAAATCCCATTGGAACTCGGCTGATATTTTCTTAGATTACGATGCGGCTTCGCGTCGGGTAATATTACAACGTTGCGCATTTTGAGCGATAATCATTTCGATTAGCCAACTCTTCGATTAGACACCTATATAAATAAATTATGTATGTGATGGATGTTATGTAGACTAAGACTAAAAGTTGGTGCTCGAGTCCGTCGATTTGTCAATCGGCAAACGGCCGCGGACGGCGATGTCGGACCTCGGAGCACCGAGAAGATAATCCAAAATTTCAATTCGACGTCATTTTACGAATTCTCGACCGCAGTGACTATTTTAATACAACACCTTATAATTTTAGAGATATGTGATAGCAATTATTATCTTTTATTAATATTATAAATCATGAGGCCTCTAGCAAACTCATGGCTCCGCACAACCTGTCGGCACAGAAGTTCTGCATCCCTTGCCACTAGAATATCACATTATTCGACCGCAAGTCGACATGATAGGCCCCTCCGAATGGCCGTAGTTGGCTCCGGTCCGGCCGGCTTCTATACGGCATACCGGGTCATGTCCAAGGTACCGAAAACCAAGGTTGACATGTTCGAAGCGTTGCCTGTGCCATATGGTCTAGTGAGATTCGGCGTTGCGCCAGATCATCCTGAAGTCAAGGTATGGATTAAATGTATTAACTATAATATCAATGTAATGAACTGTATTTGACAATTTATGAACATAGAACTGCCAAGAGAAATTCCAAGAAGTTGCAAGCTCTCCTAACTTTACATTTATTGGGAATGTCTCCATCGGTAATGCAGGCGGTCATTTTAGCAGCTGTACAATTCCGTTGGCTTCTATGATGCATCATTACGATGCTGTTGTATTTGCCTACGGTGCATCTAAAGATAAGCGTCTCGGAATCCCTGGTGAATCTGAGCTGCAGGGCATCTACTCGGCCCGCGAGTTTGTAGGCTGGTATAATGGTCTACCAGAATACGCGGACCTCGCACCGGATCTCACTAAAGGAGATGAGGCTGTTATCATTGGTCAAGGCAATGTTGCCCTTGACGTTGCCAGGATGCTCTTGGAGAATGTAGATATATTACGAAAGTCAGATATAACAGAGGCGGCTATCGAAACCCTATTAAAGAGCCGCATCAAGCGAGTTCACATTGTGGGAAGAAGGGGACCAATGCAGGTGCGTTTCAAAACATCGGCGAAGACTCTGGTTGAGTACTGATTATTCCCCTAGGCTGCTTTCACCATCAAGGAAATTCGAGAACTGATGAAACTTCACGGTGTTGCTTTCCACGACATCGATATGTCGCTCATCCCGGATGAGATTTCGAAGCTGCCCCGAGCTCGGCGAAGACTCATGGAAATATTGATGAAAGGCTCAACAGCCCGGTTGGAGGAGGCTGCTAAGTCATGGTCCTTGGACTTTTGCTTATCTCCAACTGAATTCCTCGGTCGACCCGATGGAAATATCGAAAGTACGGTATTTGAACGAACATCACTAGTGTCGCCTTTTGACCCGTCCTCGAGTGTTGTTGGCACTGGCGAGAAAGTAACAATACCCTCGTCTATAGCATTCCGTTCCATTGGTTATAAATCTGTTGCTCTTCCTGGATTTGAGGAGGCGGGCATTTCGTTTGATGATAGGAAGGGGATTATCGACAATGATGGAATGGGACGGGTATTGCGAGTAAAAGGTGACGAAGATAGCACTCAGCACCCATTGCATTTGCCTGGGGTTTATTGCGCTGGCTGGGTAAAGAGAGGCCCAACAGGTGTCATTGCGTCGACTATGGAGGACGCATTTTCTACTGGTGATGCAATCGCCTCTGATTGGAATTCTGATGCCCCATTCCTGAAAGGAGAAAGCAGCTCTGGCTGGGAAGCCTTACGGGCAGGGATAGAGCATGGTAAATGCAGGGTTATCCATTGGGACGACTGGCGGAAGATAGACAAGGCGGAAAGAGAGCGGGGTCTGCTATTAGGAAAAGAACGGGAGAAGTTCACGAGCACAAAGGATATGATATCTGCGGCTGGAAACTGAACTAAAGAGATACCCTCGCGGGCGATTGTAAATATTGTATTTATATACTTATATCCACTTACGAGCTCTTCAGCTTCTCTGTTAACTCGGGGACCTTGTCGAATAAATCACCGACTAATCCCACGTCTGCTACTTGGAATATCGGCGCCTCGGCGTCCTTGTTGATCGCTGCAATCACCTTGCTGTCCTTCATACCCGCCAGATGCTGGATGGCACCGGAAATTCCAACGGCAAGGTATAATTGAGGAGCAACCACCTTACCCGTTTGTCCAACCTGAAGACTGTTGTCGGCGTATCCGCTATCTACCGCGGCGCGAGAAGCACCGACTGCAGCGCCCAACGAGTCTGCAAGCGGTAGCATGATCTTATCGAAGTCCTCCTTCGATTTGAGACCTCTACCTCCGGAGACAACCCTACCAGCAGTCGCCAGGTCCGGCCTGTCTGATTTAGCTAGATCTTCAGAAACCCACTCCACCGAAATTTCCACGTTAGGGTCAACGCCATCTTCTATAGTTGCGGAACCGCCCTGTGCTTCGGCGGCGGGGAAGGCTGTGCCACGAATAGTAATAACTTTAATTGGATCGGAGGACTCAACGGTCGCAATGGCGTTGCCGGCGTAGATCGGGCGTACAAAGGTGTTCTCGTTTTCAATAGCAGTTATGTCTGATATTTGTTGGGAGTCGAGAAGTGCGGCGACCCGCGGTAATAAGCTCTTCCCAAAAGCAGTGTGTCCTGCGATGATATGAGTGTAGCCGCCCTTCTTGATATTCTCGACTAATAGCGGCGCAAAGTTCTCCGGGAGACCCTACAATTCAATGAACGTTAACTTCCAGCCTTATAACTCAATTGAATAGCAGATCCGTCCTCGCCTACCTTGTCGTAAGCAGCGTTGTCCACCGCGATTATCTTTTCGACGCCTTCTACTTTGGCCGCCTCCTCTGCTACGGGCTTAATGTTGCTTCCGGCGACGAATCCATGTATCGAGCCCCCAAGTTTTTTAGCGGCGGTGATTGCGCTCAAGGAACCGTGGTTGAGCTTCCCATCGCGCTGCTCTAGGACGGCCAATGATGACAATAATCTTCGAAGGGCCGAGGGGCTGTTGATGTTGAAAGGACTCGAAAGCGTAGAAGTAGAGCGCGGCACGCTGCCGACGCCTCTAAGAACTGTCCGGCTTGCTGTAGAGAAAAGCATTGTGTTTTGCGACTGAAGTTTGGCAAGTTTCTCGCGGCGGAAACCAGCCTACTACAATTCGTCTAAGCGTCTAAAGCGTCTAAGAACCTCGTCATGAATTCGGTTGTTCACGGCTTCCACCGAGGTAAGAATAGTGCATGTATTCGGACCCGATAGCGGAAGCCTATGCATGTATCTACCGTAAATATGTATAAATCGGGTCCAAGTTGCATTCAGCATAATACATATTAATAAGATAAGTCACGTGTCTTATGCTACTCTTATCATCTACCTTTCATATCAACGCTTGGACCAAGTACCTATCACCTATCACCCTACCAAAGTTGCCCAGCCTCTGCCAGCCAAATTCACTGCTTTCCCAGCTTTTGCCAGTTGGTTCCCTTTAGTCGCGCCAAATTATTTCTCCAAACACGCGGTCGACCCAGCTCATCGCATAGGACGCATAGGACGCATTCAATGAATTAATATCCATCAACGTCCTAGCAACCCGTCAAGGCGCATTCTTCAATTAAATTCTTTCCACTCATTAGTAAATCGTCGCAGCTAGAACTAAGACTGTTGCGATACGTCGCGTCAGTTTCTTTTTTCTTTTCGAATTTGATATAACTAATCACATACCAAAGTCTTCCCCCCCTTCGAACGTTGTTAGTTGGAAATTCGTATTTTCCTTCAAGATGGAAGGCGAACACGCCAACTACGGCTCACCAGCCAATGCAGCAACTCCGGGTAGTAACCCGATCCTAGCGCAGCCGCCCCTTCAGTCCAATGTGTCGGGTGCGCCTCAAGGCTCCGAAGGTAAGTTGAGACGGCAGTCATAGCCTCAGTATGTCGATGCTAATGCGCAAATCAGATGTGCAGATGTCCGAAATCCCCTCCGCAGACCCCGTCATTAAGCAAGATAGCACTACTCCTGCACCTGCTGGTACTTCAGACAACCCACTTGATGCCCCTTCTGCACCGCCTGCTGAAACTACCCTAGCTAAGGATGATGAGGAAATGGGCGACGCTCAGGCCGAGCCTCGGGATGGACGTCCCCAAGATAAGGACGTCGAAGATGCAGCCGCTGCCGGTGACGGTAGCGCTCAGGAGGTGAAGTCCAAGGAAAGCATCGAGAATGCCGCGCGCGAACATCTTATCTCCCAAACCCACGCAATCGTTCTACCTAGCTATAGTACCTGGTTCGACATGAACGCGATCCACAGCATCGAACGTAAAGCCCTCCCCGAATTTTTCAACAGTCGGAACCGAAGCAAGACCCCCGCCGTATACAAGGATTACCGCGATTTTATGATTAACACCTACCGGTTGAACCCCGTTGAGTACTTGACCGTGACTGCCTGTAGGCGAAACTTGGCTGGCGACGTTTGCGCCATCATGCGCGTCCACGCGTTTCTAGAGCAGTGGGGATTGATTAACTATCAAGTACTACCTAACTGTCTTTTATACAATAGTATCAACTTTCTAACAAGTTACAGGTTGATGCGGATCAACGCCCGTCTCAAGTCGGCCCGCCCTTCACGGGTCATTTTCAAGTCATCTGTGATACCCCTCGTGGGCTCCAACCCTGGCAACCCTCGGCCGATCCAATCGTACTCGAAGGCAAGAAGAATCAGGATACTGACCAAAAGCTCAATGCTGCTGCTACTGCTGCGGGCGAGCGAAACCTTGAGATTGGTCGCAACATCTACGAGGCTAACGCGAAAGGGGCGAAACTTAACAAGTCCGAGAACAAGACTAATGGCGAGGCCACCACCAATGGTGCAACATCCCCAGTAGCTGATGACAACCTGAGCAAACCCATCGCTAAGGTGCACTGCTACAACTGCGGAATCGACTGCACTCGACTCTACTATCATCTGCCGGAGGCCAATTCCACTAATAAGGCGAAGTGTGACCTGTGTTCCAGCTGTTTCGTGGAGGGCCGGATACCTGGAAATCAGTCCAATACCCAATTTGTCCAAATAGAGAACAAAACATATTCCTCTGTTCTCGATCGCGATGCCCCATGGACAGACGCCGAGGTTCTTCGACTTCTTGAGGCCTTGGAAAGATATGATGATGACTGGGCTGAGATCGCAGCGCACGTAGGCACGCGAACTCGGGAGGAATGTGTTTTACAATTCCTACAGTTAGACATTGAGGACAAGTATCTCGAAACGGAAGCCCCTATTCATGCTCCCACCGGTCTTGCTATGCTCGGAAAGCATGGCGGTCACCTTCCTTTTAGTCAGGCTGATAACCCAGTCATGTCTGTTATCGGATTCCTCGCTAGCCTTGCAGATCCTAAGACAACAGCTGCGGCAGCGAAGAAATCTGTGGAACAACTGCAAGAGGGCCTACGGAATAAGATTGAGGGCAATGATGCGGCTAAGGTTAATGGAAAAGGTAAGGGGAAGGAGGGTGACTCGATGGAAGTAGACGGCCACGAAGAAAATGCCGGTACTGCTGCGTCTGACTTGGCCAGCATACCGCTTGCTGCCATGGGCGCGCGTGCAGGCGGCCTAGCTTCGCACGAGGAGCGAGAGATGACGAGACTCCTCTCTGCCGCAGTAAACGTCACCCTACAAAAAATGGAGCTGAAGCTGAAGTATTTCGACGAGATGGAGGGTATTCTACAGGCAGAGCGACGCGAATTAGAGCGGGGCAGGCAACAACTCTTCCTTGACCGACTCGCCTTTAAGAAGCGGGTACGGGAAACGCAAGCAGGCCTTAGGTCGGCTAGCATGAACGGCGACGTTAAGTCCGACGGTAGCGGACTCACATTCACCTCGGCTCCTCCATTAAGTGCTGTCCAACCACTCGGTAGCGACGGTAATATCAAGAGCTACGAAGCCTAATTTATTTTTCCGATTGGGAGGGATTAACTCCGCGCTAAGCTGCGCAAGAGAACATTGTTGAATTTTTAATCGTGGCGAATTTAGGCATTCTAAAGGGACTTTGATTTTACTATTGTGAGCCGCCAGCTCCCGTGGGCGTCAACGGAATAGGGTTTCTCGCTATTTGCTTTTGCTTGGTTATCTTTTCTTTTCCCCTCTGAAAATAAAGTTCTCCTGCCCTCTGAATGAAAAAGAACATTCTTGGGGGGAGGGAAAGTAAGAGAATGGGAGAAGAAAGAAGAGGGTATAGTGTCTTGCACTTGCATAGTGACGGTGAAGACCCCCGTGTATACTACGAGTACTACAAACTGCTACTCATAAATGGGACCCGTCTATGGGAAATGGAAAAGAGAAAGAGATACATAGTAATGAATTCCTAGATGATGCAAGTGGTCCATGGGTATTGCATGTGTATATTTCTTTAAGAGGGTTTAACTAACTGCTAACTGGCAATCCTCTAATATCTCCTACCAAGGTATTCACACATCGCTTAAGACATCCCTATACGTAGGCAGATAGACTACTATGCCATGCCGCCCCCGTCACATCCAAACCAACTTCTTAGTCCTTAGCATTCGAATCCTCCGCAACTATTCTCCCTCCCGTAACCTCCCACTCGCTATAATACTCAATATGATCCCTCCAATTCGCACCTAGATCCACCAACCCCGACCGCCTTCCCATCTCCGGCCCCCCTTCCCCTTTCTTCTCATGTCCACGCTCTTGCTCGTCCTCTTCTTCCGCTTCCGCCTTCACCCTGCCCCTCCCATCATGCACCACCCTCCACAGCCGCGCCTCCTCTCTTCCCGCGGCCTGCGCGTCGGCGTGCTCCGCATCCGCCCATAGTTGGTGCTCCGTGCGGATGCGGGCGCGCAGGGCGTCTCGCGAGCGTGCGGTTGCGGTGCGGTCGTAAGTTGCTGTGTAGGTGAGGGCTTCGTGGAGGTCTTGGGCTAGGGCTGGGGAGTCTTCTTCTTCTTCTTCTTCTTCTGGGGGGTCTTTCATGGGTATATCGGAATCGGAGTCAGTGTCGGGAGCTGAGTCTGAGAATGAGTGCTCGGAGGAACTAGAGGATATTTCGGGGAGGTCGGCGGGGAATTCTTGCGTTGGATGGGAGAAGGGGCGTGTGGTGGGGGGGAAGCCTAGGGTGGCTTCGACTTCGTCGTAGGGCATTGGGGGGGACTCGGAGGTGGATGAGGTGTCTGTTTTATTATCGCCTATTTCGGAGGGGGCGTTGGGTTCTTCTTCACGTTCGCTTACGTCGCTTTCAGATACGTCTTCAGCTTCGGCGTCGAGATCTTCTTCATCGTGTTCGTTATTAGATAAATACTCCTGATCTGTCATTCCTAATACATCTTCACTTTCATCGTCTTGCTCGTCATCGTACACATCAAGCCGTAGCCTGCGTGCAGCTCGTGCCCAGAATTTACGGCTGTTCTCGGTCATGCCGACTGATGCTACGGCGGCCTGCACGTCTTTAATCTTAACGAGGCCCCCCGTACGGTTGCGGCGGTCCCCGGCACGCTTTGCGCGCACCCGGGAGCTCGCTACGTAGAGCGTTGCGCTCACGAGGCGCCGTGTAACGCTTAACGCTAACGAGTGAAAGTCGGCGAGCGCCGTGGCTCGGATCGAAGGCGGCTCCTCCGATATGCCGCGCCAGTTACCGTCCGGGACCACGGACGAGTTCATGAAGACGCGCTCTGAGAGCCGTAGCCAGTTGCGCAGGATGAAAAGCTCTGCAAAAGGGGGAAGGTGGTTTGTCTCTGCCATCGCGCTATTGCCGTTGTTATTACTGCGGCTGCTGTTGGCACGCTGCTGGTGTTCGAGCAGCCGTGCTAGTTGCGACGTAACTAGCCACCGACCCTGCCAGCGCTTCTGCTCCAGCGCCGTCTCGTGCCTCTCGCATCGTAGCGCGATGCCATCCGCCGCCTGCTCCAACGCCGCGCACAATTCCGTACTAAGCTCTACCGCGGCAGGGACATCGACAGGGCGTAACGCCCGCTGTCTCTTACCGTCATTCTCGCGGTGAGCACGCTCCGCCCCATCAAGCAGCACCAAGTACTGCTGGACTTCGAGAGGGCTCTTAGTGCCGACCCTTGCCGCGATGCCAGCAATGTTATCGCGCCCTAAGCGGGCCAGAGCCGAGAAGAAGACGTGCTTCTCGGAAGGTGTCCACGACACGATGCCGATCTGAGCCGGCGCTAGGTCCAGGGGTTCGTCTCGGATGATTCCCGCCGCGGCATCGCAAATTTCTTCGTTAAGAATGTTGAGATACTGCGAGTTGAAGACTCCCTTTTGACGCTTAGGCGGCGATACTATAGGGGATGGTTCTACTGTCTTGAGACGGCGTTTGCGTATACTTTCCCCGAGGCGAGGTGAGGGCAGGGACGGAGGCTGAGGAGGCTGACCGTCGGATTCACTGCTGGCGGGGCGGTACTCGGGGTCGTCATCTGAATCCATATCTGGGTTGGTAGGTTATAGCTGTGAACTACAAATCTACCTAATTAAGGCTGTTGTAAGTCGACCCTTATGATCTCTAATAGGGGGCGATGCATAGGATGTATATATGCAATTATCCGTATTTTTGAGAAGTTGGTGGAGATATCACTCCTATTTTCATAAACTATGAGGCCTTCTTGAGAATCATAGGCATGCATCAATATACTTCTAAGATATTCCCTTAATATCTTAGGTTCTTTAGGTTTAATTTGAGATTTTGTTGAGCTTCTGCGTTGATATGTAGATGTAAAGACTGGATGGTGTGAAGTTCCAAGGTTTTTTTTTTTGTTAAGATGCTAAGTCTGCATAACTTGTTATTTGATATGCACATGCTAACATGTTCCTAAACGTTCTAAGAAAATATATGCTTAATTACATATGCAGTTCCACCTAAAAGTCTTGAATGGTTCAAAGGCAACTTTAGAACTTAAGAACTTAAGAACTTAAGACTTTAGGCCTCGAAATCTTGTCTCAAACATCTATCGCACCAGTCGTTGTGCAGATATGCCATGCTACCTCTGACCACGAGATGGCTATTCTCAGTGAGACCCGTACGACGGTTTTCGCTAACGGGATGCTATCGATACAATTTTTCTACGTCCCTAACAGCCCGTGCAGCTGAGATTCCTAACACTCCTAACACTCCTAATCCGTTCCAAGGTATTCGCCTCCGTGATTATCAAGAAGAATGTATTCAATCTGTCTTGAATTCACTCAAAAATGGACATAAGCGATTAGGAATATCGTTGGCTACCGGCTCCGGGAAAACTGTCATATTCACTCAGCTGATTGATCGGATCAAGAACGACTCAAATGAAGCCAGCCAGACGCTGATCCTGGCTCACAGGCGAGAACTTGTCGAACAAGCAGCTCGCCACTGCACCTCTGCTTATCCGCACAAAACGGTAGAAATAGAAATGGGCAACATACGTGCCTCGGGAACTGCAGATATCACCATCGCTAGTATACAGAGTATCAACTCTAGTGATCGCATCAGCAAGTTCGATCCTAGACGGTTTAAGCTCGTGCTTGTCGACGAAGCACACCATATAGTTGCGCCTGGGTACTTGAGGACTCTGGAGCACTTCGGCCTCGATCAAAAGAGACACGACTCGCCAGCACTTGTCGGCGTATCTGCGACTCTTTCTCGGACCGATGGCCTTCGGTTGGGCGCTGCAATCGATGAGATAGTTTATCATAAAGACTATGTCGATATGATAGGGGATAAATGGTTGTCAGACGTCGTTTTTACTACGGTCGAGTCGACTGCCGATGTCTCAAAGGTCGGAACCGGCAGCAGCGGAGACTTTCAAACTCGTGAATTGTCTAAGGTGGTAAACACAAAACAAGTGAACGAAATTACTGTTCGCAGTTGGCTTGCAAAGGCTCCAGGGAGGAAGTCGACCTTGGTTTTCTGCGTGGATCTTTCACATGTCGATGGATTGACCGAAACATTCCGCCGGTTTGGTATTGATGCTAGGTTCGTGACGGGAGATACTCCAAAAGTCGAAAGAGGCAAAATCCTTGATGCTTTTCGACGCCAAGAATTCCCGGTGCTTGTCAACTGCGGCGTCTTTACTGAAGGAACCGATATTCCTAATATTGACTGCGTTGTTCTCGCGCGACCGACTCGCTCCCGCAATCTATTGGTGCAGATGATAGGAAGAGGCATGCGGCTTCATCCAGACAAGACCGATTGCCATATCATTGACATGGTTTCGAGTCTGTCCATCGGCATAGTGACGACACCTACTTTATTCGGCCTCGACCCGTCTGAGTTGGTAGAGAAAGCAACCGTGAACGATATGGAACGCTTAAAGAGCAGCAGAGAAACTCAGGACGTTAAGATTTCTCGCAATATTAATTTTGTAGAGTATGATTCGGTCTTCGACTTAATCGCAGATACATCCGGCGAGAGGCATATTCGGGCAATCAGTCATAATGCGTGGGTTCAAGTTGGACCGAACAAGTGGGTGCTATGCGGCTCGGGCGGAAACTATATCCGATTGGAAAAGGAGAATAATTCAGAAAATAGAGAGGACGAATTTGTAGCCTGGGAAGTCCGGGCTCTTCCCGCAGGTGTATCGAAGTCTCGATATGCTTCACCTCGGCGGTTACTCACGACATCTACCTTCGCCGATGCCGTTCACGGGTGTGACAAATACGCATCTGATCAGTATCCCCGTCTTCTTATCTCGAGAAAAGAGCGCTGGCGTAACGGACCACCTACAGATGGCCAACTGGACTTTCTAAACAGGTTACGTGGGGAGAATGATAAATTAACAGAAACCGATATCACAAAAGGCAAGGCCGCAGATATGATAACTAAAATACGTCACGGCGCCCGAGGTCGCTTTGCTGCCCTTGACGCTGACCGAAGACGAAAGGAGAAGCGTGAGAGTTTAGGGCGGGAGAAAGAAAGGATGATGAATATTCGGGAACTGGTGTCTGTTGGACCTCTATCAGCCTGAACCCGTAATTACTACCTACCTCCTATATATACCTATACACTTCAATCACAATCATCCCAACTCGAACAGCATCTAACAATGCGTCAGTCATTATGTATCCTTCAAGCAAGTCTCTCAATAGTCATGGGCATTAGGTCAATATGAATTAATACTTACCAGATAGTCATGTATCTGTTCAATGACCCCTACTAATTCACATCCACGGTTTGTGGCGTACACCAGACCTGAAGTCACTTTCTCAGGTGGAGTTTGCCATCGAGCTCTTGACAGACTCTATATTATATATAAATAATCTATTCAACATGTTGCTTTCCTTCTCCCGTACTTAGTATACGCCTCTTGTTTTAGTCCTAAAATTAACAAGCGCACAACCACAATGGGAAAAAAGGACAACAATGCCATTAGGCGTCAAGACCAACACCCACCGCGGTATACTCTAAACCCTTTTCTCGTGGCTATGGGGTTTATGAATCCTTTACGCGCTCATCCGCCATCAAGACACCCAAGGACACTATGGCCTGAACCTATGCACCTGCCTCGAACTACGAGCAGGCAGGTAAAAGAAGGCTTGGACACTATAAATGTCAAGGACGATATACCGAATAGCGCACAAACAGAAACTACTATAGACTCAAACAATAGTCCCAGCGGCGGGTCTCCTATTTGCCACAATGCCCCTTCTAAGGATACCCCTCCACCACTGCATCATTACAACTCTTCTAGCCTACGTGCCGCCGATTGGAGATCATTCCCGCCAGAAGTTGTTCCAAGGTTTGATCTGGCAAGCTCTACAACACTACCTGAGGAAAAATTACCGGATATTGAAAGACTTACTAACAAGTATATTACACAGTCCGTAACTTTTCGAAGGTGGGTGGAACAGAAGAACAAGGAACTAGACTCGCTTGGCAGTATGGAACAACATCACGAGAAGATCGAAGACGAAGTATTGGCCGATGGTACGCTAACTAAAGCCGAGAAAAGACAAGAAGGCATTCACGAAATCCAAGAGACCTATGCTGCACTTGTGGATATCGAGACCATCGAAGCTGAAGTATCCGCCCGCCGTCATGCTTCAGAAACCTTACAGCGTCAGCGAAGATTGCCGTTGACAGCAGTTAAGCGCCTGTTGGGATCGGATGGATCATCATTCAATAATTCTGGCGTGCCCAAAGAGAAGCACTTATACATCGTCGGCTCGCCCCAAAATTTGGTCAGACTTCCTTTCGACCAGGCCGTAGATGCTGGTCTTGAAGTTATTCATCCTCCTAGACAGCATGCGTCTCCAGATTTACCTGGCACTCTTCAAACGCTGTCGCCTCCCCCACAAGAATCTACATCGGGCGCGCCCTCCTCCTTTGGGCCCTCTACGAGTCCAAGACGCAACCTCCATATTCCAGAATGGTTCGAGCATTTCAAAATGCCCCTAAAAGGAAGAAATCGCGAAGCTAGATGGAACGATCTAATGAACCGTATCTACACGCTGGAGACAAAAATCAGACATGATAGCAACGACGAAGCATCGGGAAGGTCGCCCTGGGACAAGAAGTGGCACGAACCTAGCAACAAGTGGCCCTTCGCCCACCGGCGGGAGCACGGCGGCTGGTGGAAATGCAGATCCGGCCGCGACGCCCCGGAGGCAGAGAAGAAATGCGGGTTATGTCACGGTCAGACCGAAGCCCCGGGGCAGACGGCGAAAAAACGCAGCGCAAAGGAGAAACTCGACGAGCTCCAGAGCGCTATAGATGAGGCGATGGCCGTAGTTGGCGAGAGCGATAAGGCTATTGCATTGGAGATGCTGCGCTAAGGAAATACCTTCCCTCAGGGTGGAGGATGGTGTTATTATGTAGCGTCATCTAATGGCGTGGAAGTAATGGGTGATGCTCCTTCGTTGTCGGTTTTGTATATGAAGCCTCCGCTAGGAAAGGACTGGCTATGACTTCATAACATCACCTAGGCTCTCTTATTGCCAATGTCGTTTTTGGCGTTTGAGGGTATCATAATGGCGCTGGCGAATTTCTATTTCCATGGCAGCATAGGTCTATTATTGGTGTCTAGGGGTAGGATACTGGCGTAGATATGGTTGGCCTTGGGAGATACGGATATTAGTAGACGTATATTTTAGATGGTATACTAATTTGCACCTCGCTTCACTTAGAAACATAGGATTCATTATGAAATGATGCTAAATTAGGCGTATACTCTTAAAGTACCGTGTTATCATATGATCAAGTTGATAATATTAGACGACAGTGTTTCATAACTAAATAGTACCTATTCCGCTTCGTAGTTGGATAAATATTCCTAAGGGTATTATAGGCAAAGTTTTCGGTACGAGTCAATAGGTAATGGTCTGAGTTTTGCTGTTAAGCTCGCAGCTCGCATAGTACTCCTTAATTTATTGAACGTATTAACAGGATCTTTAGGCTTATGAGTTGCATCTAGTATTAATAAGTACCTATATAGAGAAATATTTTGAAGTGAGTAAAGCTAAGATAGTAAGGTCCGAGTGGTTTATCTTCAGTCGAACCCCGTATAGGCAAGTATGCATACAATGAAGTTATTTGATTTGCGACCGCTTGACATGCGCTAAATTACATAATATATCCATAGTATCTTCTAGTGGCCACTGGCTGATAACGGTTTTTAACGGTTTTAACCTATCTGGGCAATCGTTACCTCCGCTGTCCCGCAGCCGTGGTTATGGTTAGAGCGAGAGGGCAGCTTAGCAAGCGATGATGTATTTCGACAAAATACGCTCGAGCTCTAACTCCAGTCTCCAATTACTAAGGCTAAGGCGATAATCGAAGTTATCGTCTAGATTTTCAGGCAAGGCAACGGCCATTCTTAGGAATTATTTTCCCCAAGGCCTATTCGCCATAATATCTGTATTATTTTAGTCACCACTTCCTTTTTTTTCTTTCTTAATCACAGACTGGTGGGAACCTTTCTGCAAGTGCAAACTTGCAAACTTGCATTGTACTAAACCTCCGGTCTTCCCCCGGCTATATCACCGTCGCCTCGACAAATTTTCCCCTTATAACCTTTTCGACGATGCTATGTCGACAACGCCTATCACGGCAGCTCGTCGTGAGGGGTCCATCGAGTTTTGCATCGAGGCTCCGACCCTCTTTAGCATCACGTCATTACTCAATAAATAATACTAGTAACTCGACCGAATCCACGATCGCATACTCAAGACAGACGATAGCCTCAAGGCATAACGCTTTACTAAGAACAAACTTTTCTACCTCGTCCATTACTAGGAAAGATAAAAAAGACAATGGCTTTTTCGATGGGTCCGTAGAGCCGTTGTCGGAAGAAGAGGCGAAGGCGAATTCGGAGAAGAAGACGGAGGAATCCAAAGATGAAGTGAGCGAAGCCAAAAGCTCCAATGCAGACTCTCCGCCGTCCGGCAAGAACCAGGGTGGTCAAGGTGAATCGCAGGATGGCAAGGCAAGCAGCGCGGCAGGGGGCGCATCGTCCGGGTCTGGTAGTGATGCGCCTGGAGACGGAGGTCGAAGAGGTCGAAGGTCGGGAGCCGACAAAGCTCTACAGAAACCCGTCGTACCCGACGTATATCCCCAAGTTATGGCCATACCAATAGCGAAGCGACCTCTATTCCCAGGTTTCTACAAGGCGATCACGATTAAGGATCCGAATGTCTCAGCTGCAATAATGGAAATGATTAAGCGAGGTCAACCTTACGTTGGCGCATTCTTATTTAAAGATGAGAATGCCGACGAGGATGTAATTAGGGACCCGTCTGATGTCTACGATACTGGTGTTTTTGCGCAGGTCACGAGCGCCTTCCCGGTACACGGAGAACAAAACAGCCTCACAGCTATCCTATACCCTCATCGCCGAATAAAGCTATCCACTCTCATACCCCCCGGTACTAGCGAGCCTAAGAAGGCTGATCCTGAAACTGAACCTACGCCTGAGCCAATACCACCCAAAACAGAAGAAGAACCGCAGCAAGAAAAGAAGGGCGACGTGGTCGCAAGCTTCGAGGAGAGCGCTGTCGCCCCGAAGTCTGATTCTGCGACGGAGAAATATGAGCCAACATCATTCCTACGAAAGTATCCAGTCAGCCTTGTAAACGTGGATAACCTATCTGAAGAGCCGTTTGATCCAAAGAGTCCTGTCATTCGAGCGGTGACAAACGAAATCGTAAATGTTTTCAAGGAAGTCGCTTCAATGAACAGCTTATTTAGAGATCAAATATCAACTTTCTCTATGAGTCAATCGACAGGAAATGTTATGGCAGAGCCGGCAAAGCTAGCTGATTTTGCTGCGGCGGTATCTGCTGGGGAGCCCGCAGAACTACAAGAAGTCCTTGCTAGCCTCAACGTCGAGGAACGAATGCAAAAGGCTTTGGTCGTACTGAAGAAAGAACTGATGAATGCCCAGCTTCAATCAAAGATCACTAAGGATGTAGAACAGAAGATTACGAAGCGGCAGCGGGAATACTGGCTGATGGAACAGATGAAAGGCATTCGCCGTGAACTAGGTATCGAGTCCGATGGTAAGGATAAACTGGTAGAGAAGTTCAAGGAGAAGGCCGACAAGCTAGCGATGCCCGAAGGCGTCCGGAAAGTGTTTGACGACGAAATTAACAAGCTCGCTCATCTCGAACCTGCCGCCTCCGAATTTAACGTAACGAGGAACTATCTGGACTGGTTGACACAGATCCCCTGGGGACAACGGAGCGCAGAAAATTTTGGAATTCAGAATGCGATGAAAGTACTGGACGAGGATCATTACGGCTTGAAAGACGTCAAGGATCGTATCCTAGAGTTCATCGCAGTTGGTAAGCTCCGAGGTACTGTCGAGGGTAAGATCTTATGTTTCGTGGGACCTCCTGGCGTTGGCAAGACCAGCATAGGCAAGTCAATTGCCAGGGCTCTGAACCGACAGTACTACAGATTCAGCGTGGGAGGCCTCACAGATGTGGCTGAAATAAAAGGTCATCGACGGACGTACGTCGGTGCACTACCTGGACGAGTCATCCAAGCTTTAAAGAAGTGTCAAACTGAGAACCCTCTGATATTAATTGACGAGATTGACAAAATTGGCCGGGGTTATCAAGGCGACCCTTCGTCGGCTCTACTAGAACTACTCGACCCAGAACAGAATAGTTCTTTCCTAGACCACTACATGGATGTTCCCGTCGATCTTTCCAAAGTGCTGTTTGTCTGCACAGCAAATATGACCGACACTATTCCGAGACCTCTACTGGACCGTATGGAAGTCATCAGACTCTCAGGGTACGTTTCGGACGAGAAGAGAGCAATTGCGGACCGATACCTAGCACCTGCAGCTAAGGAACTAGCCGGGTTGAAGGGTGCAGACGTTGCTCTAACAGATGATGCTATCGACGAGTTGATTAAGTCATACTGCCGCGAGTCGGGTGTTCGGAACTTAAAGAAGCAGATCGAGAAGGTCTACCGAAAGTCGGCCCTGAAGATCGTTCAAGAACTCGGGGAGGATGTTCTTCCTGAGTCAGCGGCTCTGACAGAAGATGGAAAAGCCGCTCTAGAAGAATCAGAAAAGGAAAAGGAAAAGGAAAAAGAGAACCACGATCCTACTTCTCCCGAAGCCTCTGAGAAAGAAACCACAGAGAAGCCTCGCGTACCCTTAAAAGTACCTGACTCGGTTCACGTCGAGATTAACAAGGAGAACCTCAAGGACTATGTCGGTCCTCCGATATTCACCTCTGATCGTCTATATGATGTGACGCCACCTGGTGTTGCGATGGGTCTTGCATGGACCCAGCTAGGCGGTTCCGCGATGTACATAGAATCCATTCTCCAGTCTGCATTAAGACCTAGTAGTCGTGCGGGTTTGGAAATCACGGGCAACCTAAAGACGGTGATGAAAGAGTCCTCTACGATTGCTTATTCTTTCGCTAAGGCGTATATGGCGAAGGAATTTCCGGATAACCACTTCTATGACAAGGCTAAGATTCACTTGCACGTGCCCGAAGGGGCAGTGCAAAAGGACGGACCATCGGCCGGCGTGACCATGGCGACATCGCTCTTATCATTGGCATTGGAGACGCCTGTCGACCCCACGATTGCTATGACCGGGGAGCTTACGTTGACTGGAAAGGTCCTCAGGATAGGGGGCCTGCGGGAGAAGACGGTCGCGGCGAGGCGGGCTGGTTGCAAGATGATCATCTTCCCAGACGACAATATATCCGACTGGCTAGAACTTCCAGAGGTGGGTGCTACTAACCTGAATAACATTCCGATGCGACGGTCTAGGCTAACATTATTGTGCAGAACATCAAGAAGGGTATTGAGGGCCGTCCAGCCAGCTGGTACGGCGAGATATTCGAGCTCGTCTTCCCCAACCTGGACAAGGAGCAAGCGAATCGATGCAAGATCTGCGAATGGAAGAAGGAGCACGACGCTAAATCCGAGAGCGACAAGGACGAATAGGAGACGATACGGAGGATGGAGTGACGGGGACACTCCCCATAGCCCCTTCGTCAACTTGCATATTTTCCATAGACTTTACAGTAATGCATTTGCGGGATTGGGCCATCAGATAGGCGTTCAGGCGGCAATACGACGACTCGACGAAACGGCTTGGAAGCAACCCAATCATAAAATGTATTCCCTCACTCCTCACATATTTGAAAACATTACAACTTGTATCATACGATTTACCCACATACCCTTCACTTCTCATCTCTCATGAGCATAGTAGACAGGTGGACAGGTGGCAGAGCACGGCACGCTCGCCCCCTTTCTTCCGCTAGGTTATCTTACATAGTATCAAGAAGAAAGGAAAAGGAAACCACCGAAGGGCCAGACATGAGAGAAACTCTTACAGTAACGTGTCAGAACGCTAGTGATACGCCTCATACGAATGGTAAGACTTATTCGTGACAAACCTCGTGCCAAGTGCGTTGTGTCGCTGTGGCTGTTGTTATAGAGAACGATTCGAGCCGGGTGCGCATGATCCATATCCGTATAGTATCATCGAGAGTCGACATCTGCCATAGAATCCCGCGCTCTGGGAGGGCGGTTGCGCACCCCACGATTTGATTGCTGTCGGAGGTCGCATTATGCAACCTGGAGATAAAAAGGTTGGGTTCTACGCCACGGTAAGAAGTCAATTCCTTTTTTCCCCCTTCCTATCACGAGGCACTCTACACTATGTCGGAACTATTGCTGACCACCTCGATCGCTCGCGTAAGTTAGACGTGAGAT